CTCTTCACCTTTTCTGACCCACTTCAGCTCTTAAAGTCTCTATTAATGAACTGACGAGTTGAATCGGGTGTGTTAGATGAGTGAGACAGTGCTGGGCTGCTCTAGGACAGTTTTGAAAACCATTTCAGAGACATGTTCTTAAATGTGACTCATATATAACATATTACATGCATGCACAGTTTTAAGGCAGCTTTAATTGCCTTTTTGGTAACTTAATGGCTTAACTGACCACGACATTGCATGCACATAGTTTATTTCGCGCTTTGATTTGACATGGCATGCAACTGAAGATCGAACACAGTACTGTTTCCGCGCTCGTTTGACTCGCGCCTAGTGCTGAGGTGAAGCTGGAGCACGCATCTGAAACGTCTCCTGTTTGATGTGGTCGTATAGATGTTATGAGACTGAATAAATGCACTTCTTGTCAAGAGAAAAAGAGAAAGAAACAGCTGAGACCCTCCTCCACAGCTGACGGTGCAGGCTGACCACGCTGACCAGTCGAACCACGGACCAGAGTCTACAGGAGTCATCATACAGACAGAAAATACAGAGATTCTGCACTCTATATAGAGTATGTGGAAGGTGGCATCGGTCACACTGACTCACCTGTGCAGCTGTGTGTGTTGCAGGCTGTCTGCTGTCGGCCGGATCCCACACACTCTCTGCCGCCGCTCTGAGGGGCGGGGTTATCACACTCACGTGTCCGGATCTTAACCCCGCCTCCACACCGGGCGGAGCATTCCAACCAGGGAGCCCATTGGCCCCAGCTGCCGTCGACATGGCAACCAGGAACTGAGTCACACTGAAGGACACCTGCTTCACAGGTGCTGGAAAAAAGGATCGAAAAACATACAGACACAGAGATAAAGAAACAATTATATCTTTGTTTCGGTGTCTAGTGAGCTGCATTTCCTTACTTTTTTTTATTTTATATTTATGCCTCTGTAGACAGTATACAGCCCATTAAGGTGAGGGACAATGACTTCCTTAGTGTTTAATAAGCTCACTTTGACACTAAACAAATCGTGCAAAAAGAAGAAAAAGCCCACTGTACCAGTTTTGACAGTCAGTGCTGATGGTCTCTCCTGGAGCCACATGATGCCAGTCTGATGCTTCCGGCCTTGACCAGGAAACATTGCCTGTGTCTATTCCTGCGGAGACAGAAAGTGTTTTGCATGTCATTTCAGTGTGTAAAACTTCTATATAGTTCTCTATTTATTTAAGGGTTTGTTTTGGTGTAGTTTTAAAGTAATGTTATAATGTTAGTTTTATCATTAACTAACAAAAATTACATTAATTAATATAAATGAAATATTTAACAGAAATAAAACAGAATATAAAAAACTTAAAATTATTTTATTTCAGTTAGTTGTGAAGGCAAAATTTAAAATTTTCGCTTTGTGCTAAAACGACTGAAACTGAAATAAAAGTTGTCATATTTAACAAAATGTAACACAAAATAACTTAACTTTAATTTAAATTAACAAAAAACTAACAAAATCTAAAAACAAATTAAACATGAACAGAAACAAAATAATATATTTCTAATTTTTGTTTGGTTTAAGTTAAAGTACTAAAATGACTAAAACTAAAAGTTAAATAAAAATGAAAAGAGAAACAAAAACATAATTAAAAAAAAATTACAAATTACAAAACAGCACAAAATTACTAAAACTTTAACTTCGATTAAGTAAAAACTATAATTTTTGTTTGATGTTGTTTAAGTTAAAGTACTAAAATTACTAAAAAACTAAGATTGAAATAAATTATAAAAGAAATTAATTAATTACAAATAACAAAACTAAAACCAGAAATAATAAAAACAACAACTAAAACACACAACAAAATGACTTTAACCAAACTTTAACTAAAATTAATGAAAAAATAAAACAAAAAATATAAAAAAAAACATTAAATGAAATAAATTAAATATTAACAGAAATAAAATAGAATATAAAAAATTTAAACACACTACCAAATAACTAAAACTTAAAATATATATATATATAAAAAAAATCAAAATAAATAATAAACAATTATAGTAAAGTAACTACTAAAATAACACAGATTGAAAGAATATTTGTGTTGTGGCCGCAGCACTGAGCATCTCTTCTGAAGGTGTTCATACTGTACCTGCGCTGATGTTGTGATATTTACAGCGGCACAGCTCTCGGTCCACACACAGGCCGTCCTGCAGCAGCATGTCTCCTGGACACCCGCAGGTCGAGCTGCATCCCGGTGAATCCACACACTCCGTGTCTCCGTGCAGATCGGAGCAGAAGCGCGGACAGGGTTTCTCGCAGGGCCACTGCTCCTGTCCTCCTCCACAGTCTGCAGATGAGGATAGAAACACGATCACTACAGGAGTCTGGAATAGTTTGTGATGTTCATATGACTGTAGAATCAGCTGACCTGAGACACACAGGCCGTCCTGCAGCAGCATGTCTCCTGGACACCCGCAGGTCGAGCTGCATCCCGGTGAATCCACACACTCCGTGTCTCCGTGCAGATCGGAGCAAGAGCGCGGACAGGGCTTCCCGCAGGGCCACTGCTCCTGTCCTCCTCCACAGTCTGCAGATGAGGAGAGAAACACGATCACTACAGGAGTCTGGAATAGATTCTGATGTTCATATGACTGTAGAAAACACAGATTGAAAGACTATTTGTGTTGTGGCCGCAGCACTGAGCATCTCTTCTGAAGGTGTTCATACTGTACCTGCGCTGATGTTGTGATATTTACAGCGGCACAGCTCTCGGTCCACACACAGGCCGTCCTGCAGCAGCATGTCTCCTGGACACCCGCAGGTCGAGCTGCATCCCGGTGAATCCACACACTCCGTGTCTCCGTGCAGATCGGAGCAAGAGCGCGGACAGGGCTTCCCGCAGGGCCACTGCTCCTGTCCTCCTCCACAGTCTGCAGATGAGGAGAGAAACACGATCACTACAGGAGTCTGGAATAGTTTGTGATGTTCATATGACTGTAGAATCAGCTGACCTGAGCAGACGGTGATGTTATCATGACAGCCGCGGCTCTGCCGACTCTCTCCGAGGCAGGACAGACCGCCGAACCGCGCCGGAGGACTGTTACACTGCCTCTGTCTGACAGACACACCGGCACACGCGTCACAGTCCGACCACGAGCTCCAGGAGCCCCATGAGCCGTGGACTACACACACACACACACACACACACACACACACACACACACACACACACACACACACACACACACACACACACACACACACACACACACAGACACACACACACACACACACACACAGACAGACAGACACAGACACACACACACACACACACACACACACAGAGATCAGGGATGTTTCACTGCATTAGTATTGATGGCAAGTCATGAACTTTTAGATCATTTTTATAAAGTAAACTATGAGGGCTGTAAATAGATTAATCTCATGATCTTTTGCAGCTAACATCTAGAATTTGTTGAAATTGGGCCCTAAATACATAAAATGTAATGCTGAATCAAAACGTTCATGTCTTCACATCTACATCTCATCTGAGGATCTTTTCCATGAGGCTGAACATGTCATAGCATTCAGATCTTAACGCTTTAGATCTTTTGTTTAACAGTTTGCATACACACTACATTTTTTCAAACAAATCAATACTTTTATACAGAAAAGACACAGTAAATTTATCAAAAGTGACAGTAAAGACATTTATGTTACAAAAGATTAATGTTTCAAATAAATGCTGTTCATTTTAACCTTCTGTTCAAAGAATCCTGAAAAATAAATTGTCACAGTTTTCACAAAAATATCGGGCAGCACAACTGTTTTCAGCATTAATAATAATCAGAAATGTTTCTTGAGCAGCAAATCAGCATATTAGAATGATTTCTGAAGATCATGTGACACTGAAGACTGGAGTAATGATGCTGAAAATACAGCTGCGCATCACAGAAATAAATTATATTTTACAATATATTTACATAGACAGTTGCTTACATAACAGTTATTTTAAATTGTAATAATATTTCACAATATTACTATTTATATTGTATTATTGATCAAATAAATATATAAATAACAGAAAATTACTCCAATTAAAAATTCAACTACTATTAAATTTATAAATCACATTAAAAATATTTGTTTTATTTTTATCATAATTTCTGTATTATCAATTATTGTTTATAAAAACATATTTATATTTTATTATAATTTAGCTTTCATGTTGTTATTTTATTTATTTTAAAAAATGTTTACATATACATATGCTTTGACTTATTTTCAAATGGCATATTTGTCTATTTATCTATCTACTGATTTAACAATTTCTCAAATGATTTATCATACCGATTTCTCAAATGATTATATAAAAATGTGTCATTTCAAATGAGGTCAATACTTGAAGTAAACTGAATCTCATTAAACACATTAAGTCATTAAGTCAGCTGTTGTATTAGTCGCTGTATTCGTCTGGTTTGATGAATGTCTCACCGGGGCAGAAGGAGACGGATGGGCACGGCTGTCTCTGGATCTGGACTCCCAGTCCGGCGTGTTCCTCCTGCTGGTCTGGACACGCCGCTCCTCCTGATCTGGGTTCAGGACAGGCGCAGCTCCTGTAGCGGGACACCCACTCCATCCCACAGGTCTTTGAGCAGGGCATCCATTCGGACCACTGACACCAGCCTCCATCCACTGACACACACACGAACACACATCACAATCTGATAACCCATAGAGATGACTGAGATTATTATGGGCTGACGGGACAAACCTGGACACGGCTGTTCACCGCAGACGAGTCTCCCTCCCTCACAGGTGCTGGAATGTGACCAAACACGTATCAATCACATGATCTAAATCAAAGCAGACGTGTAATCTCTGCGGTGTCTCTGTGATTCTCACCAGTTGTTGCAGGAGTCTGGAGTCGGGACGGTCTCTCCGGGACGGACCCGTTGTCCTGTGTGCGGGTTCAGACAGGGACATGTGTCCCGCTCCACACACTCCGTCCCATTTGAGTCCAGAACTTTACCATCCGTGCAGTAACAGCCCGGCTCACAGCGCCACTCGCAGTACTGCACACACACACGCACGCGCACACACACACACACACACACACATCACACACACACACACACACACAACATCATTGTCATCTATCTATCTATCTATCTATCTATGAAATTTATTAACATATTTTATATGTATTTATATATTCAGATTAAATGCATTATTATTAAATGCATAATACAATTAATCATTAGTAATTAATTATTAAAATATATCAATATTTATATTTTTCAATTATTTTGCTCTTTCCATCTACAAAATATATTCATAAATTTATATATTTGTATTATATCTATAAATGTATATATTCATATTATTCTTAAATGCATAATAAAACTATCTATAAAATATATTAAAATATTTTATATGTACTATATATTCACATTATATGTATTATTCTTACATGCATATTAAAACAAATATTATTAATTGTTAAAAGAGAATAAAATATACATTCTGTTTTCAAAGATTTTATTCTATCTCTCTCTCTATAAAAGTTTTATAAAAATGTATTTATTTAGATATCATCATGTACACTGCAAAAAAATGCTTTTCTTAGTTAGATTTTTTGTCTTGTTTCCAGCCAAGATATCTAAAAATTCTTAAACCAAGATGGATTTTTCTAGACAAAGATAGACAATCAATCTATCTATCTATCTGTCTGTCTGTCTGTCTGTCTGTCTATCGTTCTATCGTAAAATATATTATTAGAAATATATTAACATATTTTATATTTACTTATTCATATTACATGTATTATTCTTAAATGCATAGTAAAATATTATTAATTGTTAAAAAACAATATATATTGTCTTTAATTATTTTATATTTATCTATAAAATATATTAGCATTTTATATGTATTTACAGTATATATTCATTTTATTATTAAATGCACAATGAAATTTCAATCTATCTATAAAATATATCAACACTTATTTACATATTCATATATGTATTATAATCTATCCATCCCTTCCTTTTACTTTCATATTACAAATACACTATAAAATACACAGATGTTTAACTTCATATGGCGTTTAATTCTTTTACTCACAGTGAGGTCGTCACATGATCGTGGACACGAGGGTCCGCAGGCGCTGAACACACTTCCTGGCACGTGTGAACATGATGACACTAGAGACAGAGTTCAGAGTTAACATCTAATATACATGTGAACACACACGCACACGCGCACACACACACA